TCTGCTCGGGATGCGGCTGCCTGCAGTTTCCCCCGAATCTCCTTCCTTCGGTTCGGTTCCTCTCCAGTGCTCTGCTGCAGGGCTGGGATTTCTCACGCTCTTCCTTCCTTCCTTCCTTCCTTCCTTCCTTCCTTCCTTCCTTCCTTCCTTCCTTCCTTCCTTCCTTCCTTCCTTCATTCATTCATTCATTCATTCATTCATTCCTTGGAGAATCGCACAGCCACCCCCCCAGACCTCCCCGCTTCACCTTCCACGAGCAGTGAGGGGTGCACAATGCTCCAAATCTGATGGCGCCCAATGAGCTGGATTTCTTAAAATGATCCCTGCCAAGGCTCCGGCGACCCTGATCCCCCCCTCGGCTGCTGCCTGCTGCACTGGCCCTGGGCTGCCTGGGCTGCCCGCCTGCGCCTCTCACTTGGGCTGCCCTTCACTTTCTGTGGTTGCCCCGGGAATCTCCCCGGCCTCCCCCAGGCGCACTCAGGCCTGTGTGTGTGTGTGTGTGTGTGTGTGCGCGCGCGAGGAGTGGATGCGGCCTCTCTTCAGCCGGCAGCTGCCCCATGTTCTTGGAGGCTGCTTCTCTGTAGAAGAAAGGGGGCCGGGGGTCTCCCTCCCCCTCCCTTCTGCTCCGCCTCCTCCTGGCATGTCTGCCCACATCCGTGCCCCTTGCCTGCTCCCCTCCCCCTGGCTCAGTCTGCTGAGCCAAACTGACACCCCCCCCCAGCAAGCAGGGGACCTTGGGATCCTTCGCTCGCTCTTCCTGCCCTCTCCGTCCCAGGGAGCCCCCTCCCAATTTTGAGGCAGGGGGCAGCATGCCTGCTGGAGGTGGGGGGGCGGTTAGTTTGCCCCCAGCACAGACTGGGTGAGATGGAGCTGCAGAGGATGACGTGCCCTTCCTGGGCTGCCCAGTGCTCCCCAGGACGGAGGAGGAGGGGGTGAGGGGGGGTTCCTGTGGCCAGCAGCTTCCTTCCCTGCTGCTGCCACATCAGCACTTCCTTGCAGGGAGCAGCCAGAGCGAGCGGGGCATGCGCTGCCCGGTGCCAGCTCGCAGGATGCCGAAGAGCCTCCTAGGCAAAAGGGGGGGGGGGGAATCTGTGGCAGGGCCGGGTGCCACCTTTCTGCCACGCCAAGCACTTTCCTCTGTCGCGCCAGCGTTTCCTCTGGTCCAGAGAGCCGGGTGGAAGCAGAGGCAGGCTGCCTGGCTGGGGCAGCCCTTGGCCAAGGCCTGGTTTCCCCCTCCCCTCCTCAGAGTCCCCCCTCCCCTGTGCCTGGGTTTTGGCTGCTTGCTGAACAGCCCGTTGTCCTCCTTGGCCATTCTGGAGGCAGGCCTGGCTGACTGACCACATCCTGAAAAGTGCCCTAAAGTCAGTGGAAATTCCCCCAAAATAAGGTGATAAAAGCTCAATTGCAAATAACTGCAAGGAGAGGAGAAAATGGAACGTAGTGGAGGAAGCCAGTTGACATTTGCAGATGAGATCAAGCTGGTTGGAATAGCCGACACGACGGGCTGGAGATCCAGAAGGACACGGGGCCCAATCCAGGAAAGTGCAGTTCAGTGGCAAGAGAAGAGCACAGGCAAGAAAAACCGGGTGCCCAGGTATAGAATAGGTGGCACTGGCTCAAGAGCAGTGACGGCGAGAGGGACAATCTATCAATACATATGAACCCGCCACGTGCTACAGCGGCCAAAAAAGCCAACGCAGTCCGAGGCCGCCTTAACAGGGATAGGCCCCAGATCAACACGTGAAGTGTTGATGCCACTTTATACGGCCTTGGAGTACCAAGTGGGCGCCCCAGTGCAAAGAAGATGTTGAAACTCTGGCAAGAGTGCAGAGAAGAGCAACAAAGCGGATTGGGGGACTGGAGGCTAAAACGGAGGAAGGACGGCTGCAGGAATGGGGGTGGGTCCAGTTTGATGAAAAGAAGGACTGGGGGGGGGGGGACACATCATAGCCGTCTTCCAGTACTTGAAGGGCTGCTCCAAAGAAAAGGGGGGGCCCACCTCTGCTCCAAGGCCCCCCGAGGGCAGCAGGACAAGAAGCAGCGGATGGAAACCAGTCCAGGAGAGCAGCAACCAGGACCTGAGTGCGGAATCCCCTGGCAGGGAGAGCCATCAGCCCCTGGCAGGGTTTCTCTCCAGGGCTCGGGGGCCCTTAACAGCCACTTGTCCAGAATGGTGTCGGGGCTCCTGCTTGAGCAGGGGGTTGGACTAGAGGACCTCCAAGCTCCCTTCCAGCTTTGTTATTCTGTTAGTTAGAAGCTGGATGAGAATAAAGAGGGCAGGGAAAACCTGCAGACTCCGGCTTTTCTCCTCCTTCCCAGCCGTTTGGTGTAGCCATAGGAAGCCCTTTGGTTGTCGTCTTTGCAGCCGAGTAGCAGCAGGTTCCCTCCTCTGCATGACACCTGCGGGGCCCTTGAGCAGGAGGGGGGCAGAGGCTTCCATGCCTACCCACCCCTCTATGCCGCCAGGTCCCTCCGTGGATTGGATTCCCCCCTCGGCCACCCCAGCCACATCCCGTCCACTGTCAGGCTGTATCTTTCCTTTGACACCTTTCTCAAAGTTGGGGCCCCTTTGGGGGTCAGTTATTCAGCCCCCGCGGCCCCTGGTGCCCAACCTCCCATTGGGAAGGGCCGGCAAGGAGAGGAAGCTGGCAGAAGGCGCCTCTTCAGACCCCTCCAGCCCCACCCTTTGGGCTTCCGCCCCCTCTGCTGCCTCTTCCACCAAGGAAGAAAAGGGGGCAGGCTGGAACCCGGGCTCTGGACAGGACGCCTCTTTTCGTTCAAGGAGCATCTCGGGCCGAGCGACCGGCATCCTGAGGTGCCCTAGGAAGCAGCCGGTGATTTGGCTGAGCCCTCCCCTCTTCCGCAAGGGGAGAGAAGGCCACCGTGACCCCTTGAAAGCAGTCGGGTGGCCCAGCAAGGTCTGCTGACAAGCCAGCTTCCCTAGGCTTAAGTTTACGTGGTCGGCCCTTCCTAATGGACTGGGGGAATGCTTGAGGTATACAGTGTCCTGATTCCAGCCCCGCGTTTGACCAGGTGCCCTGTGGCATTTGTGCCAGCTGTTTGGCTGTTCTTTGCCCAGCCTGGCAAGGTTCAGGAGAGGTGAAGGCGCTGCTGCCTGGCTAAAGGGAGGGGGCGAATGCAGTGCTGCGGGGCTGGGCTGGGGCTCCTCTGCTTCTCCAGGCGTCGATTAATAACTTCGTTAAGAGTCATTAAGAGGCAGAGGGAATTCTGATTAGATTTTAGATGACACAGAACTGACTGGCATTTCTGCTCTCTCAGAAAACACACTCGTGACAGCATTTTTAAGCCATGTTTAGCCAAGTCTAGCCAGCCGGTGTCCCGGGCCCCTTCCTCCGAGTCGAGTCGGGAGGTTGACAGATTTCCCAGTTACCTGGGATTATCCTCTTGTCACATCCAGGCTGAGTGGAGCCGAAGCTCCTTGCCAGATGACAGGCGCCATGTGCTCCACATCGACTTCAGCATCTGGATCTCCAAGTGCGGGGCGGCTTCCCAGAGTTGTATTAATACTCATATAAGAATTGGAAACAAAAACAACGTTATACCAAGGGAACTGGTGCGAGTTTTAAAAATCTTCCCGCTTCTTATGTTGCCAGCGTAGGAAATCCAACGTTCACCGCTTTCCAAACATGGTCCAGTGGATCCATAACAATATTTTCTGACGATTGGCTTTCCTTTTAAGCAATAGGAAGCGTGTATCACTTTTTTTGAAAAAAGCCCAGACCCACTGATTTCCCCAAATCGGATGTTCCAGTTTTTCCTTCTCGAAATCAAATAGGTAACTGGCCCTTCCTGCACTTTTAAGTACTGTGCAAAACTGAATGGGCGGCTCCCGTGCAGACCCAGCCCCTCCCGCTGCCCCCCCCCTTAAAGGAAGCTGCAGGTGCCCAGGAGTGGGGGGTGGGGGGCTGCCAGGTGGTTTGGAATCTTGCGAGCCTCGCCTTTTGCACCGGCCTCCTCTTCCCCTCAGGGGTTTCCTACCCCCCCCCCACCCACCCCCCCAGCCTCTGCTCCAGCCCTCCAGGGCGATCAGGAGCCATGCCTTGCCCGTGACAAGGGCTGCTTCTCTGGTGTGGCCACCCTTTCCAAGTAAGCCTGCTCTCCGCCGGTCGCCCGGGGCCAAGGGAGAAGCAGGACGCCCGGCACAGGGAGGCACTCAAGGCCCCCCGGGGCTTCTGCCTCCAGGGAGGGAGGGAATGGTGTCTGTGGTGGGGGACATCTGGCGTGGTGGGAAGGACCCATGGAAAGCGGGGGGGGGTGCGGTGTCCTGCCAAAGAGTCCGTATAGGGTGGCAAAACCAAACCCACGGGCAACCCAAGTAGCTGGGCCTGGAGGCCCCTGGACTCCTGCGCCCTTGTGACAAACTTGGTTCTCTGCCCGCCTTGGCCAGCTGGTCCCCCCCCCCCCCCCCCGCTTCCCTTGAATCGCCCTCAGGGCCCCCCTCTGACTCTGCCGCCCTAGAGGCTGCCTCCGCCCCCTTCTTCTTTTCTGTAGGTAAAGCCTTGCATTTTTCTCGCTCGCATTTTATTCAGTGGTTTTCATCTGACTGTGGAAGGCAGAACTTTTGGGGCTGGTTCTGTGCCCCTGGCTGGCCACTTCGCCCCTTGTCACCTTCCGGCTCCTCTTGGACCCACTGGGCGCTGAGGGGCGATTCTTTGCTGTGCCTGGGCGACCCGGATGGGTGTCCTCCAGCGGCCAGGCCTGTCCCCACTGGGCCTGAGGGCGACCCTCTTTGATGGCCTCCTCCTCCTCTGCCCTTGGGGAGCAGTGGGGGGGGGGGGGGGGAAGAAAGGGGGCTGGTGCTCCTGCAGAATAACACGGGGGGTGGGGGGGACCCCAGAGGGGTCTAAGCACCTGGTCCCCACGGCTCTGGCTTTCTTCTGACCGGCCTGGGGAAAACGCCTCCTGATGTCGGGGCGGTGGTGGGGGGGCTGCAAATGGCGGGCTGGTTGTGGGTGACGGAGGTCTCTCTCTCCCTCCAGGCATCGAATGTCCCCGTGGAGCCCGGAACCTGCCAGGCCTGGTCCAGGAAGGGGAGCCCTTCAGCGAAGAAGCCATGCTGTTCACAAAAGAACTGGTGCTGCAGCGAGAGGTAGGAGGGCGGCCCTCCCTGCGTCTCTGCGCCTCGACTTCGCCTCTTTCCCACCGGCCCACTTGGCTGCCTTTCTCTGCTTGCTCTCGATGCCCTTTGTGAGGCGGGGGGGGGGGGGGAATCTCCCTTGCTGTGATGGAGGGTCTTCCCAGCTCTCTTGGCCCGCAGGGCTTTCTGCCCTTGGCTGCCCCCTTCAGAAGGGCTGGGTGGAGGGGCCAGGCGGGCTTGACCACTTAGGGCCAGTTCCACGAGTGGGGGGCAGGCTTCTGGGCATGGGGCAAGTGAGCGCCCACGCCCCCAGGGGTCAGTCCTGGGAGAGGGTCCCCTGCGGCTGGCCAGGCCGGGAGCAGCCCAGCAGACCCCTGAGGGGGAGGGGGCCTTCCATGCACGGCCGGCTGCTGCTTTCTCCGCAGGACCGGTTTCCTGGTTTACAAAGCGCAGGGAGGGGGAGTTCCAGGTGACATAGGGTGTGTGTGTGTGGGGGGGGTGTTGTGTGGACCCGCCCTCTCTCCCTAGAGCTGCCCATGAGAGGATGCAGCCCCCCAGGCCCCCTCTTCCCTTCCCAGAGCAGAGGGAGCCGCCCGCCCGGCAGAGCTGGCCTAAAGGGAAGGGGGAGAAAGTAGGGCGAGCGTGGCCGTTGCCTGCCCCTCCCCATTTCTTTCGCCTTCGCCCGCTTTGCCCCGTACCTCCTGCTCCAGGTGCTTCAGCCTGCGCTTCCCGGACCCCCCCCCC